GTGGCCACCTACCATTTCTGAGTTCCCCATTCAGCCTTCCCTGCTGGTTGGCATTGCATTTGAGTTATGTTTTCTTGCTTCCTCTACCTTTTGAGATGTAAAAATAGAGGCTCAAAACTAAGCCTTTTACACCGGCTGGACTGTGTTACTCATTTAACAGATTTTTTTCACTGAATTCCACAATATGATACGTATGGTCAGGAATCTGCCTTCAAGCTCAATGGCTGTCCTTGAATAAACCCAATGAGAAATTGACAAAAAGGTACTTTTATTTAGACTCTAACCATCAGGGAGGAGTGAGCCGCAGCAACCCCAGACAAGAGAAGCAAAGCCAGTTCTGCTCCTTGGCACTTCTCTTCATCGACCCACCCTGGCTGAGCCATGGTGAGGCGTCCTCGGGCTGGTTAAAAAAACTGAAGAGCATGTACTGACTCTCGTCTTATCAGTACCAGGTACGGAGAAGCGCTAGAGCTCTTCGTGGGTCTGAGTAATGGTTCTCCCAGAAGCCTCCTCCACATCAGACCAAACTTAGGAGCCCAGCAAACAGCAGATACGACATGGCAGCCTTCATGTTAAATACTTGTAGAGTTGTGTTGCTGACAAAAATTTTTGAAAATGTTTTTGTAATTTTGCTCTGGAAATAGGTTGGCGACAAATAACTGATCAGCGTATGACTGGTGAATAATTTCTCAGCAATTCTCTTAGCATACTCAGGAATTCTTACTCAGTTGAAAACATAAATCCTACCTACATATAGTTTTCAAGTAAAATGTTTCTTATTATCAGATCAATAGTTAATAAAGTTAATATCACATCGACAAATACCAACATTATCCATTTCCTAGTTTTGTAGCCAGTACAAAATATCTCAAACATATTTATAACCCCTGCACAGCTGGGTGGCTTCAGGTACTGGACTTTAATGACCAGTGTCTAAAGCTGTCCTGCCTGGGCTGGCCCAGGCTCTAAGGACTTCTCTCTTGTCACCTTCAAGGAATCAGAACTGGATTTGGGGACATCTCCCTAAAAAAAGATGGCAAGCTAGCCTATAAATGGTACTAGTCTTCTAGAGTAACTAGCCAACCCCCACCCCCAAAAATGATAGCAATTAAAGGCAGAACACCTGGGGTCCAGCCCATAACTCACCATGTGACCTTGAACAAGAGCTGTGTGGTCTCACTTACCGCCCCTCCCCCCCTTATTCAGATTACAGGTCCAGCTCAAGGCCTTGTCCTATCCCCAGTGGTACCTTTTCAGATCCACAGTGCACTGGGCCAGGAGGGAGGCCCCAAACCATCAGTTATGTGCAGCTGAAGAATACAACAAACCACCAAACCAGATACAAGGATTTCCATGAAAATTCTTATCCATGAAAAGTAAAGCAATTTTAAATATGGTGCTGCGGATTAATGCGCTGGACTGCAAGTTTGGTTTGAACCCCAAGGTCAGCGGTTCAGGCTTACCAGCCGCTCCTTGGAAACTCTATACTTGGTCACTACGAGTTAGCACTGACTCAAGGACACTTAACAACAACAGTGTTGTTATTTTATGAAAGAAGGATAGGAGAAGGAAGGGAAGGAGAGGGAAGGAGGACCCCATTAACATTTGCTTTTGAAAAGCCATAGATCTTGGATATCTATGCAAAATGATAAGCTTACCCTCTCCAGATAGAAAGGCTGTCTGCTATGGAATCCTCACCATCCACTCTCCCTTTCGCTTCCTTTTACCTTTCTTACCTCAGTGAGGGGCAAGTAAAACATAATGAAAAGAATATGAACTGTATCCAGGCCCAGCCCTACCACTCATTTGCTCAGCAGTTCTCATAGTGTGGGTCAGGGAACCCCTAGGGTTCTCTGAAACCCCAAACTGTTTCCCAAACACTACAAAGCTATCACTCACTTTTCTTCTCCTGAGCGCATCTTTCAGGGGTGCCATGACCTGTGACCCCCTAACAGATTGAATGTAAAGGCAGATACCAAAACCCAGTCATCTCCTACTGTCAGACACCAAAGACATTTGTTAAAGTGTACGATGGAAGCACTCTCCTTACTGGTGTCTTGTTTCGTTTGGTGAAACTCATTGTTGTTGTGAAGTATCATCGAGTCAGCTCTGTATAACAGGACACAACATTGCCCAGCTCTGCACTGTCCTCACAATGTTTAGATCTAGTCATTGCAGCCCGTCTCCTTGATAGTCGTCCTCTTTTTCACTCACCTTCTACTGTGCCAAGCATGATGGCTTCTCCAGGTATGGGTTCCTTCTGATAACGTCCAAGGCAGCTGAGAGGAAGCCCATCCTCACACCTACAGAGCATCCCGGTTACACTGCTGCCAAGACAGGTTGGTTTGTTCTTCTGACAGTCCAGGGTACTTTCAGTTTTCTTCACCGACATCTTCTTCACTCCTCAGCTTTCACATGCATACGAGGCTTGGACCAGGTTCTCTTAGTCCTCAAAGTGGCATCTTTACTTTTTAACACCTACAATTTGCCCCATGCGATATATTGTTTAAGTCCTCACTTCTGTCTCCAGGGGCATTGACTGCTACATTTATGCAGTTTTGAGATCAGTTTTTATGTTGTTGTTAGTGTGTGACATCAAGTCAGTTCCAACTCATAGCAGTTCTGTTTAGGGTTTACGAGAGTGACTGGTGGGTTTGAACCACTGACCTTGCGGTTACCAGTCCAATACTTATCCCACAGTGCCATACCAGGGCTCATAATAATTTTGTATAAATTGCTTTTAATTTTTTTAAATGTTATTATTGTGAATTGAGTGAAAGTTTACAGGGCAGATCATCAGTTTTACATTCAACAAATCATACACCTTGTTTCATTACAATGATTATAATCCTCTCCGTGTACCATCAGTTAACAGTATTTCTCTCTATTCACTTTACTTCTTTTTTTTTTTTAAACACTCAGGCATATATAATAATTTACACCACCAAAGGACACACTCTGCAAGTCTGCCTCCTGGACACCAGTTCTCAGTCCCTCTCTTTCCATGAATCTAGAGTTGTCAGCTGCTCTCTTTCTCCATGTCCCCATCTTTGCTTCCATCTCTGGTGTCACAGCTTCTCTGGATAAAGTCCCACATTCTGCTTATGTCTTCACTCTTGATGGTCCTAGGGTCCTCTGTTTCTGGACTGTAATATTAACCACTCCCCTGTTTTTGTTACAAAACTTCTGCCTTTATAATTGTGACAGTCACTATTAGTCATGATAAGTATTACTCACTGTTGAATCATAAGAATCTTATCCCTATCTCTTTTCACCAGACCCATCTAGACAAGATGAAAACTATTCAGTGGGGACTCTATCTTCCCCCACACTCTGAAACTAAACTCCTTCTTGAAACCTTGTAAGTCATTCACTTTGTGCCTTTATCACCCCCTCATTTTAGGTAGCTAATGTCTAAGTTGCCTGTCCCTATCTACCCTTATACAGGGGGTATATCATTGATAGTTGATGTGAAGACTCCTTCCCTCTCTGTTGGTATTTAGAGTTATTACCTCCCTGAGTATAGGTGCTTTTAATGTTTAAAGTGTTATTTATGTTAACATGTAATATATGCTTGTGATTATCATTTTAAGTGAATTAATAATGCATATTATTTTAATTACTATGGCCAATAGTGAGAAGTCATTTGTTGTTGTTAGATGTCGTCCAGCTGGTCTCTAGTTACAGCAGGCCCATGTACACGAGAACGAAACGCCGCTTCATCCCATACCAGCCTCACACTTGTCACTGTGTCTGAGCCCACAGTTGCAGCCACTGTGTCAGTAGCGTCCTTCCAACCTAAGGGGAGTTCCTCTTCTGGCACTATATCCAACATTGAGTACTATTCTTAAGATTTCCACTGGCCAGTTTTCTTAGGACTAGACCTAAGGACTAGACCAGGTCCTTCCTCGTCTGTCTTCGGCTGAAAGCTCCGCTGAGACCTGTCCACCGTAGGTGACCCTGCTGGTATTTGCAGGGCGGCATAGCTCCCAGCATCACAGCAACACACAAGCCACCGTAGGATGACAAATTGGGTCCTGGATAATATCTAACAGTGCAGAAGGGGTCTAAGAGCAAAACGTTTGAGAAGAACTGTGCTGCCTAGCACCCATTGCCTGTACTGATTATGTTGGTTGTTTCCTTGTGCATTCACTGCATTCTTCATCTCTTTTCATCTAAAGATGGTCATTGGACAACAAAACTATTAAGTACAGGACTAAGAAGGGTCACCAGCTGAAAATGAGAGAGATCCCAGAACCCCTGACTACCAGCCTCACTCTTTAGTATCGGGCAATACTTCTCCACGAATTAATTCCCTGTAACTTTGAAAAACTTCTTTGACTGTTCTGAGCATCAATTTCCTTACTAAAAATGGCCAAATTGTACATATCCTGCAGGGTTCTTTGAAGATTGTTATTGTTGTTGTTAAGTGCCGTTGAGTCAGTTCTAACTCATAGCCACCCACTATGTGTAGGGTTTCTGAGGAGTGGCTGGTGGGCTTGAACTGTCAGCCTTTTCGTTGTAAGTCCAGCGCCACACCAGAACTTTAAAGATGAGAAGAATGAATATTTACCAAAGTGCCATTTAAAAGCAAAGAAAGAATAAACATCTCCAATTCCACTTTAAATAACACTTTTTTAAAATTAAAAAAAAACAATCCCAACTCATAGCAACCCTGCAAGACAGAGTGGAACTGCTTGTATGTTTGCCGTGCTGTTGTTGTTGTGAAGTGCCGTCGAGTCAATTCTGACCCATAGCAACCTTGTATAGGGTTTTTGGGGAGCCGCTGGTGAGCTTGAACCACTGACCTTGCAGCTCAAATGGCTCTGCAGTCTGCTGCACAAAATAGCTGCAAAGTTTTAGAGAAACAAACTGCAACATCTTTCTCCCAGAAAACAGCCTGTGGGCTCGACTTGAGACACTGTGAGTCTCTTTTTCTGCCTCTGAGGAAACATTACCCCAAACAAGTTAAATGACTCCCCTTTCCTTTTTTCTTCTAGATGGTCTTCAAGCAGACCGAGAGACTGATGGACTAGAAGGCATGGATGAAGATATGATTGTGACCCAAAGTCAGACCAACTTCATCTGCCCCATCACTCAGGTACTGGTTCCTCCTCTCCTCTTGGTGAGAAAGAAAGAACTTTTCATAGAGACAAAGAGATTCCCGTTGGCTTTCTGACTTGAAGTCATGATTGGAGTTTAGGAGAGAGGGAAGAAAAGTGATAAGGTTCAAAGAGTGTGCATGGAAGGTTCTTGGGCTGGAAAGAATTTACAGTCAATCCTGACCTTAGGGATCTAGGAATAAAGTCGTGGCCACAGGCCAAGTGCCGTAGCTGGCTTCCCTGTATTTTCTTCTGTGGTCATCTGCCCTAATAATGATACAGTTATGATAATGGGAGCTTAAACAGCAACAGCACAGGACTAGGAAATAACAGTCCCAGATACTTGGTGACTTGGAGAAGTTACTGGAAGTTGATCATTATCATTCCTGAAAGCCCAGTCTCTCCTTGATTGCAGTTGGAAATGAAGAAGCCAGTGAAAAATAAAGTGTGTGGCCACACCTATGAAGACGAAGCCATTGTTCGCATGATTGAGTCCAAGAACAAACGGAAGAAAAAGACCTGGTGAGTGATACGGGAAGGTGGAGCCTTCCCTAGCCGAGGCTAATCAGAAGGGGTGAGTTTTCACCCCTCAATTACATTCACCCCCCGAATAGTATAAACATGGAAACTGACCTTCGGTCAAAACAATACGAGGAAAAAATTAGTAATCTGTTCAGGAAGAAGCTGAAGGGGCTTTGTGGGAGCCGCACCTTCAAAAAAGAGTTTTTTGAACTGGATGGTAAACATTAGGTAACAGGAATTTTTAAGAATGTGTAGTATTAAAAAAATTAACCAGGAGAACTGTGATACTAAGGATTTGTTTTTTCCCCATTTCTTTTCCCCCTCTTTATATAAGGTAGGTGCTTCAGAAAATTTGTGGGAGAATGAATTAAAAGATAACAGAACTTTTCCACAAACATTTTGAAGCCCCCTCACGCACTTAACCAAAACAAGAGGGAATGGTCAATTTGCCTGCTTCCTGCCAGACAGGTTGTCTGTTTCTTTGTTTTGTTGATATGTGCCATCTAGTGGGTCTGACTCATAGTGACCCTGTATAGGGTTTCTGAGGAGCGGCTGGTGAGTGTGAACTACCGAACTTGTGGTTCAAGCCAAACTTGCAGTCCAGTGCTTGTCCTTCAGTGCCACACCTATAAATATTAAGTAAACATTCAAAGAACCCACCACTGATGGTCTTGATCATCAAGATCTGACAGGAAAAGCTTTCACATAGTTGTTGCTGCTGGTTTTAGATGCTGTTACGTAGGTTCTGGAGTCCTGGTGTGGCGCTGTGGGCTAATGTGTTTGACTACAGTCATTTGAACTGCAAAGTCAGTGGTTCAAGCTCACCAGCTGCTCCTTGGAAACCCTATACAGGGTCGCTATGGATTGGAATCAACTCAACGGCACTTAACAACAAAGTAGGTTCTGACTCATAGTGACCCTGTGTACAGCAGAAGTAAACACTGTCCAGTCCTGCATCAGCCTCCTAATCAGTGCTATGTTTGAGCCCACTTTTGCAGGCAATGCGTCACTCAGTCTCATTGAGGGGCTTCCTCTTTTTCACCCTCTACTTTACCAAGTGTTTTGTCCTTTTCCAACATGCTCACAGTGCAGGAGATGAAGTCTCATCTTAGTCGCTTCTCAGGAGGATTCTGGCTGTACTTCGTCTGAGACAGATTTATTCGTTCTGGCAGTCCTGTTTTGTTTAGTGCTGTTGAGTCCATTCCAACTCACAGTGACCCTGTATAGGGTTTCTGCTGGTGGGTCTGAGTTTCCAACCTTCTGATTAGAAGTTCAGTGCTTACCCTACAGCATCACACCCGAACACCTGGCAGTCCTCAGCATAGTTAGGTTATTCTGGGCTATGTTAACACCAGATCTTTAGTTACATAAGTAACATCCCGCAAGGTTTAAATAAATACATGAATGTTGTTCTTGTTATTAGATGCCATCGAGTCGGCTCTGACTCATAGTGACCCAGTGCACAACAGAAAGAAACACTGCCCTGCTCAGTTCTTCGTCCTCCTCACAATTGTTATTTTTAAAGCCATTGTTGCCACCAGTATGCCAGTCCATCTCCTTGGGGGCCTTTCTCTATTTCGCTGACCCTCCACTTTGCCAAGCATGATGTCCTTCTCTGAGACTGGTCCCTCCTCAGAACATGTCCAAAGTAGGAGAGATGAAGTCTCCCCATCCTGGCTTCTAACGAACATTTTGGCTACACTTCTTCTAGCACAGATTGGTTTGTTCAAGAGAGATTTTCTGGCTATCTTTGATCTCAGTAAGTATTTTAAGTCCTCTTTGCATCCAGCAAGCAAAGTTGTATCATCTACATATTATAGGTTGTTAACCTTCCTGATTGAGCCTTCCTCCAATCCTGATGGCATGTTCTTCTTCATATAATGCAGCTTATTGGATCCTTTTCTCAGCATGCAGATTGAAACGTATGGTGAAAGAATACAACCCTGACACACACCTTCCCTGATATTAAACCATTCAATATCCCCTTGTTCTATTGAAACGACTGCCTCTTGGTCTATGTACTGGTTCCTCATGAGCACAATAAAGTCTTCTTTATTGTGGAATACCCATTCCTCACAATGTTACCCATAGTTTGTTATGATCCACACATGTCAAATGTCTTTGCATAGTCAATAAGGGACAAAGTGAACATCTTTCTGATAGTCTTTGCTTTCAGCCAAGACCCATCTGACGTCAGCAATGATATCCCTAGTTCCACATCCTCTTCTAAATCCAGTTTTAATTTCTGACAGTTCCCTGTGGAAGTATTATCACAACCATTTTTGAATTCTCGTCAACAAAATTTTACTTGCCTGTGATATTAATGATATTGTCAGTGATTTCTGCCTTCCATTGAATCACCTTTATTTGGAATGGACACAAATATGGATCTCTTTCAATCAGTTGGCCAGGTAGCTGTCTTCCTGATTTCTTGGCATAGATGAGTGAGTGCCTCCAGTACTGCATTAGTTTGCTGAAAGATTTCAATTTGTATTTCATCAATTCCCTAAGGCTTCTTGTTCACCAATGCCTTCAGTGCAGCTTGAACTTCTTTCTTCACGACCACCGATTCTTGATCATATGCTATCTTGAAATGGTTGAGCATCTACCAATCACCTACCTTTGGTCCGGTGACTCTCTGTACTCCTTCCATCTTTTTTGTGTGCTTTCTGCATCATTCAATATTTTATACATGTTGTTGTTAAGTGCCATCAAGTTGGTTCTGACTCAACAGCTCTATATAACATTGCCAAGAAGCAGCTGGTGGGTTTGAACTGCCGACCTTGTGGTTAGTAGTCCACTGCTTATGCTATAGAATCCTTCAGTATTTCAGCTCAAGGCTTGAATTTATTTTCTTCAGTTCTTTCAGCTTGAGAAATGCTGAAAATGTTCTTCCCTTTAGATTTTCTAACACCACGTCTTTGCACCTTTCATGATAATACTTGACTTTATCTTCTTGAGCTTCCCTTTGAGATTTTCTGTTTAGCTCTTTTACTTCCTCATTTCTTCCAGTCGCTTTAGATTCTATGCTACATTTAAGAGCAAGTTTCAGAGTCTGTTCTGACATTCAATTAGGTTTTTGCTTTTTTTTTTTAATGACCTTTTGCTTTCTATCCTTGATGTCATCCCACAACTGTTCAGGACTTCAGTCATTAATGTCTAACGCGTCAAGTCTGTTCTCTAGGTGGTCTCTAAATTCAGGTGGGATATATTCAAGGTCATATTTTGGCTCTCTGGAACTTGTTTTGGCTGATAATATCGAGCTTCTCCACCATCTCTTCCCAAAGATATAATCAGTTTGATCCCTGTGTATTCTACTTAGTGAGGTCCACGCACGTCATAACCATGTATGTTGTTGATAAAAAGTGTTAGAAAGTTGTTGAATTTGCAAAATTTTATCATGCCGTAAACCATATGATTGTCTGATTAAAAATGGCCAATAGTTGTCCATTTCAGCTCACTAATACCTAGGATATTCATCTTTATGCTTTCCATTGCATTTTGGGCCACTTCCAATTATCCTAGATTCATACTTGACTCGACGGAACTTAACAACAACAGAAATACTTCATACATTGTACTTTCTGATTCTTAATGGATGTTTGCAGCTGTTTCTCCTCATTTTGGGACAGCAAATGACAGTCCCAAAAGCTTTGCTCGATTCACATCCTTATGGTTAACTCTGCTTTGAGGAGGCAGCTCTTCCCCATTCATATTTTGAGTGTCTTCCAACTTGAGAGGCCCATCTTCTGGCATTCTATCTGACATTCATATAGCTGCCATTCATAAGGTTTTTAGTGGGGAACCATTTAGAACCATCCTAGTCTGTCTTAGTCAGAAAGCACTGCTGAAACCTGTCCACCCTGGATGACCCTGATGGTATTTTAAATACCAGTGGTATAGCTTCCAGCATCACAGCAACATGCAAGCCACCACTGTATGACAAACTAATAGATGAGTAGTGGAAAATTCATGGATAATCACTGAAAAATCTTTTCTCTAAAATTAGAATGTTTGGGGAATTTTCTCGTATATATATATATATATATATATGGTGGTGGTTATGCACTGTGGAGTTGGTTCTGACTCAGAGAGACCCTTTATGGGGCTTCTAGACTGTAAACCTTTACAGGAGCAGATAGCCTCCTCGTTATCCTGCCGAGTGTCTGGTGGGTTTCATGTTTCTAGGGATTTTTTTTGGAGCTCCCTGTGTACACATCCATAAAGGGGATTCAAAAAATTTATGGAAATGGATTTGAAAAACAATGGAATTTTACCACAAGCATTTTGAGGCCCCTTGTAGGTTTCCTTTTTTGAGGGTCATGGCTCTGTGTCCTACAAGATGGCTGGTCAGTCAGGGACTCCTGATTGGTCAGTCAGGGACACCTGATTGCTCAGTCAGGGACTCCTGATTGGTCAGTCAGGGACTCCTTGATTCTAGCTCTGGCTCAGTGTGATACTTCATAGGCTCTTGTCACAGATTTAATCACAAGAATGGAATCGCAGGTGTGACCAGCTCTCAGTATACTTCTGATAACTGTCCCTTTGATGTGGGGTTTGCCTCTCCATCACCCCAAAGTTTGCTGGTCCAGACCTCGAGTTGGAATTCCCCAGCACTCCACCCTGGGTGTGGACTTCAAGGTCAGGCATTTGAGACAGGAGCTATTTCAATGACCATTAAGTAAGCTATTTGCCCATGTGTTCTGGATGAAGGACATACTCATCGCAAAGTTGAGATTCCACCTAGAGTTGAGCTGTCGTACTTCCTGGTGAGCACACCATTGTAAACCCACTGCCTTAGAGTGCATTCTAGCTCCTAGCTAGGATGCCATCTGACCCTGGGGGTACAACAGTCTTAGTTTCTGAAGGTCAAAGCTTTCCATCCCTTACTGACCTTTTGTTCTGTGTTCCTTCCCTGATGATCACAAAGTTGACTGTCTTAAAATCTTTGCTAAGAATAGGTATTCCCAGAGAGTTCTACTTTCCTGCTCTCCTTCCTT